TTAGGGTTTAGGTTTTAGGGGCTTTGAGTCTAGGGTTTAGGGGTTTAGGGCTTGCCGAGAACCTGGCTTCGGACACGCACATACCTGTTCAGAACCGACCTAAAAAGTCCCAGCCCCCAAGTGGAGGCTCGTTTGTATCTTCGGGTCCCTGGAGGATCACTTAATTCCATTCCAAAGGTCCAGAAGGGTAATTCTCCAACGTATGGTATGTATCTAGGGCTGAGGTTTAGGGTTTGGTTCAGGGTTCAGGGGCTTTAGTTTTCGGGTAGACATCCCTCAAAACCGAAATCCAGGACACCTTGACGGCGCTCTCGCTGATGTGCTCCTCGTGTCTTTTCGCCTGGATGACCGTCGCAGCTGGGTTCTTGTTAGGTGGCTTCGCGTGTGCTGACTCTGACAAGCCCTTTTCAACAGTTCTGCGCGTCCTAAATTTCAATGAACTTGATTCCCTCAATGCCGAACCCAGGCACTTCTCCACCATTTCGATGATCCCAAGTGGCCAATCACTTCGGTACCCATGTGCTTCGGCAGCACATATGTTCGGGGGCCCACAGCAGCCTTTCTCCCTTAGAGGCTTCCTCGGTTTAAGGGTTTAGAGGTTTGGGGGGGGTTTGGCAAGATTCTTAAGTCTTTCGTTTCCGGCTCTCCTGTTTAGTTCTTGGGATTCAGGTGCTTTTTCAGAAAGTACCCTACCCTACTTGGCTGTTTAACGAGTCACGGCAAGGTTTCGAAGCATTGACCTAGCGTTGTCTTAGCCCTAACCCCCCTACATCCCCCCTGAGTACTTGTCCCGAGGCCGTTGAAACCCCATAAATCGAATATCCCCGAATACATATCCCACATCGCTTGCAGTTAACCCGAAAAAACTCGAAACGTGGTATCACAAGAGCTTTCCGTTCCAGACATGGGACTGCTGCAACTTAGGAGTGCTGAGGGGACACTCAAACCTACACTCCTAGACCCTAAACCCTATAGACCCTAAACCCTAGACCCTCAACCCTGGACCCTGGACCCTAGACCCTATAGCCTAAACCCTAGACCCTAGACCCCAAACCCTTATCCCCAAAGCAGGCTAGAAGCATTCAGTTTTCCAGCTATGCAGGTTCTCGATGCTTTGTGGCACCATGGGCTGCGACGAGAGCTATCGCTCAAGCACCTACCAACTGCCAGGGTATTTGGCAATCGTGCTGAGTCTGGCAGGCACATCCATCGTCTTCATGCAACCACCAGCAGCTGGCAAATCTACGGCTTAGAAGCCATGTCAGTCAGAGAGATGCTTCAGTGAAGCTTCCCTTTTCAGTTGAGAAGCATCATGTTTTAAGATGCTGAGTTTCTGAAGCTTTTTGAGATTTTGACATGATCTGGAACATGGAGACTGCAGCAAGCAATTGGCACGCAACAGCCGGTCGCCCAGAAAAAAGCGAGCTTGTACTGTATAGGCATGTACGTACGTACATACGTATGTAGGTATGTATGCATGCATGCATTCATACATGTACGTATGTATGTATGTATGTATGTATGTATGTATGTATGTATGTATGTATGTATGCGACTATGCATTTAAATCTAGGTATCTACCTGTTTTCTGCATGCATGTATGTATGTACGCATGCACATATGATACATAGGTGCGTATAAACTTATGTACGCAGACGTGGATGATCGTGTATCTCATACAGGTAGGAATATAGACCAGTGGACAGATAGATCGATAGATCGACAGATCGATAGATCGATAGGTAGGCAGGGAGGGAGGGAGGTACGCAGGTAGGGAGAAGGTCGGATACATTTGTATATGCACGTACCCCACATACATATGTTGCTTAGCGGCGCCGCCCCTGAGCTTGTTTCATCGCAACTTACGTAGCGCTGGAGACCTCCAATAAGAAGCGGGAAGGCGCGAGACTTCGGTATTGATGCCCGGTCTAGGGTTTAGGGTTTTAGGG